GTGTGTGTGAGAAAGAGAGAGAAACGTGTATGAGTCTGTGCATGCGATTCTACCTTTCAGGGCAGCACATTGTCTGTCCACCCAGTCAAGTCTATTAGGTACACAAAAGATCAAGGAAAAAGTGTTTAAGCACTTAGGAGAGGGGAAGGTGCTGTGAGTGGGCAAGGGATCAGGGGTAGCTTAGTCCCCAAGGTGGGAAGAAACTAAGGCTTTGACTTAGCCTCAGGTGGGGCTGGGGACTATGTGTGTGTGGAGGGCGGCTAGAAGAGGTCAGGACAGTGAGTAGTGAATTTATGATGCTGGAGAGGAGCAAAAAGCAGAAAGGAGAGTTACAAATGGAGGCCCCTTTTCTTGGTTCTTGAGCCAGTTTCAAGGGGAGGAGACACAGAAAACTCATTTCCTGAATGTGGGGTGGTGAGGTGAAGGGACAAGGTTGAGCCTGTCACCTTCGTTAGTAGCTCAGCTTTGGGCTGTAGTGTTGAGGCTTAGGAATATGAGTCCTCAAAGGACTGATGTTGTCACCTACTGCGGAGGGCCATGGAAGGTGGTGAGCACAGAGCCCACTCTGCACTGGTTTCCTTTGAAATATAGCTGCTGCCTTTAGGAGAGGGGCAGGTGGTATAGCCTCTGGTCGGGTAGTAGAAGAGTGTCCCTCTCTCCCCTCCACCCCCACCCCCGCCATCAGCCTGCCTTTCCTCATCTCCCTCCTAGCACTGTTTAGCTGGAGCCCAGGTCCTTTTGGGCATGCAGCATAGGTTGCAAGGATGGGTGGGTATGTTGTTAATGTTGGTTGATTAGCCCCTTCTTTTTCCTGCTCTTGAGGCCTCTGTCATTTGGAGCTGGCACTCTTCAAGTAGACATGGCCGACCGCCCCAGAGCTTCTCTTCCTGGTAGCTAGCCACTGAGAGGAGGAAGGAAGTGGGGCTCGGGAGGAAATTGAGGAGTCCACCCAGTCTTTTCTCTTCAGAGAAAAAGGAGATGAAAGAGAACACATGTGTTTCTGCACACATGTGCACGTGTGTACTTGTATACAAGATCCTATGTGTTCTGAGACACCTTCTGTTCCTTCCCCAAAGCATGAGGGAAGAGGGGTGATAACTATGCCTTGTTCTCTGCCTCTTGTTCCCCCTCCCTCACAACCGCCATCCCGTGTATTATAGGGAACTTTCAATTCAAAACCTTTCTAAAACAGTATGAATAGGATTTTTACTCCCTCTTTGTACAGTATTCTGAAAGAAGCAAATAAAAGGCAGTGTGTTCCTGTCCTCCACTTGCTTGGTCTTTGTATCCTGGTGGGTGTTTGGTGTTCAGGGTGGGAATAAATGGGGCATGGGCCAGGTCTTACCTAATTTTTTGTAACCTCCTCACCACCTAGCACACTGCACAGCACAGACCTTCCATGGTCGGGGATTGTTTATACTTTCAGCTGCCTCCATCCTAGGCCGCGCCACCACCAGCCGCTGTGGTGCTCCCGGGTTCCAAGGCAAACCCGGGACCTCACTGTGGGCAGGATTGGGCTTTGTAATCCCAGAATTCTCAGTTAACTACCAGGTGGTATCCGTCTGTCTCTCCTGGCCCCACTCCACTAGAAAACTTACTCAAGGGATCACCTTTTGGTGAGGTGGTGGCAGAATTGGGTGACCTGAAGTATGGAGACCATGCCCTTCTCCATAATCCAAACTCCAATTCCCACCCCACCACGATAGCTATCTCAACAAGCAACATGTAGCTGACAACAAAAGAAGGGTACCTTGTTACTTCTAGAGGTTGGTGTGGGGAGTCAGTGGGAATGAGTGATCAACAATTCAATGCAATCTGCCCTTTGCCTGGTTGGCTCTTGGCCCAATGGGTTTTCCGGCCCCATTGCAAGGTCATTGTCCACTCAGCTCTGTTTACCTTGTATCTACACAATGACCTGGAGGAGGGCCAATGTGACCATGAGGATGTCTAGTCCACGACCAGGGCTATTTGACTCGGTTTCTGAAGGGTCCATGCTACTAGAGATCTCCACACTTCCATGTAATGTCTCGCCTCTCCCTGTGGGGCTGAGCTTTCCTTTGTTCATGGTAATGTTATCCTACCCCCAAACCTCTTCTAGGTTCCTTTGCCCCCTTCCCTCTGTCCCGTCTCCCTCTCCCTTTTCCTGCTTTCTGTCTCTTCCAGGGGACTTGTCTTCTCTTACCCTCTTATTCCCCTTTCCTAGCCCATCCAGCACCATTGCAGTTGTGGTGTTGTCTCTCCTTTTACCTTGGTCTCCTCCTGACCTCTACGAGTCATCTATCACTCCAGCCATCAGATTTCACTGCTTAAGCTACTCCATTTTACCCCGTTTCTCTTCCACCTTAGTCCAGATGGACCAGGACATCCTACCCTGCTTCCTGAGATTGAGAAAAAGGGGCCAATAACGTTCTTCAGATTCATGTCCCCTTGAGTTGCGTGTGTGGTGGGTGAGGGTTTGAATAATTTTCGGAATTTGACAAACATCAAGAAACGTGAACATTTCCATATACAAAGAACAGAAAAAAAAGATTACATTTAGAATCAAACCTATTATAGCTTGCATTTTTTTTTAAAAAGTGTGTATATATATATGTATATTTGTATATGATTGTATAAAGTTCAACATTTTAATTTCAGAACTGTCTTCCTTATCTTTTTTCCTGAACTTCCTGTTTTGGGCTTTTAAAAAATGCTGCGATGAGCTTCCTTTCTTCCTTATTTTTGGCATCACTATTAATAGTTCGCCCTTCCTCTCTCTTCCTTTAAAAACAACATATAGGCCTTGTATAACAAATAATCATAGTTAAGCAAAACAGGTTCACGTATTGGTCATGTCCAAAAATTTATGTTTCAATCTCCTTCAGTCTCCTACCTCTCTGGTAGTGTGCTACTGGTTACTGGGTAGTGTACTTTATTCATCAGTCCTCTGTAGCCATTGTTGTAGCCTGAATTCTTGTCTTTCAGATCTGCTTTTCTTTACAGTGTCATAGTTATGGTAGAAATTGTTCTTCTGGAACAATTCACTTCACTTTGCTTTAGAGGATAGAAATCTCCCAAGGTTTCTCTGAATCCATCCCTTTGTAATTCCGTAGCATGCAATAATCCATAACATGAACTATCATTTATTCATCTGTTTCCCAATTAATGGACACCCATTTTGTACCAAATTCCACAAATGAATCATTTGTATTTCATAGCAACAAATGCTGCCATAAATATTTTTGGACATCCATGTCTGTTATCTCCTTTTTTTTTTTTTTAAATCTCGTTAATATATAAACCTAATAGTGTCCATTTGAGTTTAAAGGCTGAGATGCAGCCTAGGTCCCTGCCCAGGTTGCTTTTGCCCATATCCAACTGTTTAAATTTTTTTTTAAATCATAAACTGAATAAAAAGCTATATACGAAAAAAAGGAATGAGGTCATCAAAACCGTGAACTTACTGTCTTGTGCATTTCAGCAAAGGAACAAATTAACAGTCAATAAACACCGTAGTTACTTTTGTTCTCATCCCTGCCACCTGAAGCTCCCTTACCTAAGACTTAGTTTTTTCTATTTATTCTGGTTTGGTGTCACTTTTACTAGTCCTGTTCATAATGTTTTGTTCTTCATATTAATCATCAGCCATTTTTCAATATATGGACACACTGATTGTTTTCATTTTTTTTCCCTACCATCACAAATAAAACAACAAAATTTCCAAATGTATTGCCAATGAAGTAACAAAATGAATCTGTTTTACGTAGGTTCTTTTTTTCATCTTGATGCTATATTTACGATAAGCCAATTTTCTAAGTTGGTCACCACGATGAATGCTGTTCTGCCCCACCCACCGAATAAGGAGGGGCTTCATTTAGTCAGCCTGTAACTTTGGTAAGTTTCATTTTCCTTTCTGGTATTCTTTGAGACCGGCTGGCCAGGATCCTTGCTAGAACTTTCAGGGTGAACAGATTTCTGGAGTACTGAAGCTGCTGACTAGCAGCCCACTGGTGAGCTCTTGAGGGACAGTGGGATTCAGGGAGGGAACATCAATGAGTTCAGGAATCGACCTTCTAGTCCCCTCACTAGGGGCTGTTAAAATGATTCCTGGTGTCCTTGGAGTCATGGAATTAGGGAGGTATCCTGGTGATTCTCAGAAATTTGACTGCAGCAGATAGAAGTTGGAAGGGAGGTGTTGGAAGTGACTTCTGGGATAGCTCACAGGAATGGAGATTAGGATGCACAGGAGGAAAAGCCATCCATGCAGGGTTCCAATGACCAGGAGAAGGAAGTGACTAAGAACAAAAATGGCGAACATTTTTACAGTACCTCGCATGCTTTATAGGTAAGGAAGCCCAGAAAAGTTAAGTGATTTGCCCATGGTCACAACTGCTAAGTGTCTGAGGGAAATTTCAAACCCAAGTCTTTCCTGACTCCGAATTCCAGCCGTCGCCCCTACACATCTCTCACTGAGCCATAGCCACTGGGAGGATGTTGTGTATGTTGAGAAGTGGCCCAGAGGAAATGGGATTCAGGGAATTAGGAGAGTTCTGAGTCAAGGAGGGCAGCAGAGCAATCAAGGGTAGACTATCTGAATGGAGGGAAGGAGTCCAAGAAAGGGAAGGAATGCCACATCCCCTAAGGGGAACAGAGCTATCCTGGAGAGCTGGAAGGATTGGGACAACTGGGAGGGGCAGTCTTCATTCAGAAAATCTCTTTATTTTATAACTGGCCAAGGGGACATTTCCTGAAACTGGGGGGTGGGGGGGCTCTATAAACCTTTTTAGGGATGGAAAAAGAGATCTGCTCCATTCACAGCTCCTAACTTTTTTTTTTTTTTTTGGCTTTTTGCTAAGGCAATCAGGGTTAAGTGACTTGCCCAAGGTCACACAGCTGGTAAGTGGCAAGTGTCTGAGGCTGGATTTGAAGTCAGATCCTCCTGACTCCAAGGCCAGAGCTCTATCCACTGCCCATCTAGCTGCCCCTCTTTTTTTTTTCTTTTGCCATCCTTTCTTTTTCACTTTCTTTTAAGGAATTACCTTTATCATCATCTCTGCAGTAATGGATGTCCAGAGGTTAGTCAAACATTCCATGGGGCCCAGTGATCCAACTTGGGAAGGGGAGAAGAATAAGCACTTATATAGGGCCTACCACCCTGCCAGGCACTGTGCTAAGTGCTTTACAATATTATCTTATCTGATCCTCACAATGAGGTTGGTTGAGAGCTGTTGGTACTATGAGGTTGGTACTGTTATGATCCTCATCTTACAGTTGAAGAAACTGAGGCAAACAGAGGTGAAGTGATTTACCAAGGGTCACACAGCTAGTAAGTGCTGAGGCTGGATTTAAACTCAGGTCTTTTTTTTTTTTTTTTTTAAGCAATTGGGGTTAAGTGACTTGCCCAGGGTCACACAGCTAGTGAGTGTCAAGTGTTTGGTCTGAGACTGGACTTGAACTCAGGTCCTCCTGAATCCAGGGCCAGTGCTCTATCCACTGCGCCACCTAGCTGCCCCCTAAACTCAGGTCTTTCTGACCCTGGGCCCAGCACTCCTAGCTGCCTAAGAGCATTTTTTCTGGCAGTGCAGTTGCCCTGAAGCTGAGTCTCCACCAATACCCTTGCTATTTCCCAACAGTTGCCTCACAGACAATGTTTTCCATCTTTGAGATGGTCACTAGAAATGTGGTCCACGAACTGAACTGGCAGGGAAACCTTATTCCCCATGACAGCCTCATTGACTCGGACAGATTCCACTGTTGCTCTCTTGTGTGCAAAAGAAAGTGCTCTCTCCCTTTCTTTAAACCTCAATACGTGGAGACAGGGCTTACTGTGGATGACCTTCTGGAGGCCTCTGATGAACAGGATCGTGTTTCCACAGGTCAGTATGACGTGGGTGACAGGGAAAGGGATGGGATGCTGAGAACAATCATCTGAGCTAACATTTGTACGCCAGGCAAAGGTCTAAGACAAAAGTGAGACTGTCCCTACTTCTCAAGGATGTCACTTTCTACTGGGGCATGCGACATGTAAATATAAATATATACAAAACACACCCAAAGTGAATACTTGGGGAGAAGAGGCACTAGTAAGAGGATCAGGAAAAGCCTGGAAAAGACTCACTTGAGATGAGTCTTAAAGGAAACCAGGGATTCTAAGAGGCAAAGGTGAAGAAAGGGTGCATTCCAGGTATGGGAAACAGCCAGTGGAGAGGCATGGAGATGGGATCTGTTGAGGAGAGAGAGAGGAGAGTGGTCGTGGGCCAAGAATTACCATGGCCAGATATATTTTTGATATGAGAAAAATCAATATATGAAAATCTAAGTTAATCCCCAAATCTGACTTGGAAATAATAATAGCCAACATTTCTATGGCACCTCCTTTGTGCCAGGCACTGTGCTAATAAGCCCTTCACAATTATTATCTCACTTGATCCTCACAACAACCCTGGGAAGTAGGTGCTATTAAAAAAAGGTACCTTTTTTTTTTTTTGCGAGGCAATTGGTGTTAAGTGACTTGCCTAGGGTCACACAGCTAGTAAGTGTCAAGTGTCTGAGGCCAGATTTGAACTCAGGTCCTCCTGACTTGAGGGCTGGTGCTCTATCTACTGTGCCACCTAGCTGCCCCAAAATAGGTATTTTTAGAAAAAGATGTGAGTTCCACCTGCACCTAAGAATCAACACTTGAACAACCCCAACATGTGACCACACAGCCTTTACTTGGAGGTCTCCAGGGAGGACAGACTCATGATCTCTGATGACGACCTGTTCCACATGAGGACAGCTCCAATTGTTTGAAAGCTTTTCCTTGTAGTGAACCCAAATCTGCCTCTGCAACATGTACCCAATTTGTGGTTCTGCCCTTTGGGACCAAGCAAAATGAGGCTACTCCCTCTTTCATAAGACTAGGCTTCAAATACCCCAAAACTATATTTTCCCTTCCAGCCAAGTTTTCTCTAGGCCAAACTTTTCCTAAGTTTCTTCAAATGATCTTCATATGGAATAAAATTTCTAGTCTTTTCCCCTTCCTGGTCACATTTCCTAGGCACAACCCAGTTTATCAATATCTTTTCTAAAATGGGATGATGTGGGCTGAATACAACATAGTCAGACTAGGATGGGGTACAGCTAAGCTATCTTCTTGCATGCTTTGGACCCTGTGCCTTTTTTTAACGAGGGCTAAGATTGCATCTATTTTTGAGGGGCTGCTGTGTCATGCTGTTGACTCCTACTCAGCTGAGCCAATAGTCCGCTGAGATCCCCAGATCGTTTTCACGGAAACTTGTCTAGCTGGGCCTGTAATAATGAAATTGATCTTTTGGGAGATTGGTTTTTTTTTTTTTTGAGGCAATTAGGGTTAAGTGACTTGCTCAAAGTCACACATACAGTGAATGTTATCTGTCTGAAGCCGGATTTGAACTCAGGTCCTCCTGACTTCAGGGCCGGTGCGCTATACACTGTGCCACCTAGCTGCCCCCTGGGATTGATCTTTTGTATCTAAATGTAGAATGTTACTTAACTGTAAATATTACTTCTTATTTAATTTAACTTTCTTAGATTCAGATAAGTGTTCTGGCCTGCTGAGATCAAAACAGACTTTTGAGGAAAGGAGTGGGTGCAGATACCAGTGTGAGAATTATTGGATTCTTTATTTAACAAGAAGAATTCATGTTAAAATAGTGCCTATAATATATTTTTAAGTGTTTGTTATATATTTACCTCCTAACTAGTTTGCTTGCCTTAAGTCACGGTCTTGTCAAAGCCATCCTTCACACATTTGCCAAGAAAGTCTTCCAAAGGCCCGTGTCTGCTCATGTTACTCCTCTGCCTGAAACCCTTTGGTGATTCCCTGTAATCAACAGGAAAAATCCAAATGCCCAGCATTGAAGGTCCTTCACAATTTGGCTTAAACTAACCTACCTACCTACCTACCTACCT